AAGACCCGTGGGCATTTCTCGAATAACTTTTGATAGGAATGACATAGAGACCTACGATTTTCGCTGTTCAATAGCCAAGACTTGAGCAGAACTTTTCACAAGCGGAAGCAACTTTTGAAAAAAGTCCAGAGATAGGGTTTTCAGAGGATCTTTGGAAAACCAGCTTCGTTCTCAGAAAACTAACATACAATGTTAGTAATTGTTTTGCATGCGTAGATAGTTCGGACGTTACTCTACAAAATTATGCAATTTGAGATTCCCAGAGATGTCTGCTCGGAGATAGACACGTGCTCGGGGAAAGCGAGCCCTGCCCGAACGATGATAACTAGAGAGTCGGGACTTGCGTAATTTTGTAGAGTAACGTCCGAACTATCTACGCATGCAAAAAAATTACTAACAGTGTATGTTAGTTTTCTGAGAACGAAGCTGGTTTTCCAAAGATCTTCTGAAAACCCTATCTCTGGAATTTTTTCAAAAGTTGCTTCCGCTTGTGAAAAGTCCTGCTCAAGTCTTGTATTGAACAGCGAAAATCGCAGGTCTCCATCTCATTCTTATCAAAAGTGGATGATCAAAAGTTCAAACAGTAATAAAAAAATATGATGCTGATAATGTTTTGAATACGGATCAAATCGGCATCGAACTCCAAATGCATTCCAACTGAACTTCAGACCATACAGGCGAGAAAGCAACTCTAGCTTCTGTTAGATCTGTACATTCTGTACATACTCTTACACAGTTCGACCCATAACAAGCATGAATGGCACGGTTGTCGGTCCTCTATTTCTCTGTTTGAAAGAGGTAAATTAAGTGATAATATAAAAAATAAATTGTTTCACGCAAAAAATGTTGTAGTTACCTGCGGTAGTACGTTCATAATAGTCTATTGTGTGTTCCTTGAAAATGAAAATATGAATTTTCGAAACGTAGGAGTAAATGTAAGACGAAATGACTTATATATAGCTAGAATTATTAGACAAAGACGGTGTTGATAAGAGCTATAATCTTGATGGAGCTGGATCTCCAGTATTCATTCCATCATCATCAGTTGACCCATCACCGTGTATTGTTCGAAACGAATCTTTATATTGCAGCAATGATACACCATACTTTGACAGTTTTTGTCCAAAATCAGCAATTTCATTTGATGCTGTCGTTATATCGATATTAATTTTGGTTATAAATGTCGAGGCTTTCCTTGCACTTCCGACTTTTTCTTTACCAAGTTTTACTAGAATATATAGACTTAGAGCTCAGCTTTATGTTTTCATGTCCAGGATATGAAACTGTGTCTATCTAGAAAGTTTTAAATGATTTGGAACGGTTTTGAATGAAATATGAGCTTTTTGGTTTTGCCTCAAAAATCGATATTTTCTGTAAAACTAATTGTTCACTAGGTTTTTAAATGTCTTTGCAAAAATAAACTTGCTCCAGGATTCAGCATGACTCATTACTCGCAATCTATCCATTTTTGAAGTTCTCAATAGTCATTCAATACTGGTGCCGAGGTTCCTAGGTAATGCGACATCATGTCTAAACGGTGGTAAATGAAGAGATCAGCGAATTCGCATTTGAAGAGAACACTCTGAGCTAACGATACATGAAAAAACAAAATATTCCCACTTGAAGTTTTTGAGCTATGACCTGCTTTTTCAAAAACCTCATAGAAAATTTAGTTCACAGAAGAATTTTGGCAACCTTTTCGATTATGAAAAGGTTGCCCTTTCGGTGGGCGAAATCGCAGGTCTTTATATATTTTTCATTCGAACGTTACTCAAAAGATAGCAGAGTCCATTCTATCTGAATATTTAAAATACAATTTGAATGAATAGTAGAAGTACTCATACTTACCTAATCCTTCCTTTTCAAGTTCTCTTGCTGCGCCTTGAAGCTGTTTACTTTTAAACCACCATGATGTTTCATTAAATATTCCCGTAATAGTTTTTGCCCAGGTGATAAGAGGATAGTTTTGTGAGGATTACGTTCAACTTCGGGAATTTGATTACTGAACTGATTTTCTTGTTGCGCTTCATCATTTTGTTCTTCGCATTGAGCTCGAAGTTCTTTCAGTGTTTCTTCTATCTTTCTGTTAGCATAGATTTTCTTCTGACAGATGTAATAATCCATTAGAGCTAGAGACGATTGAGCTGTTACTGATGATATTGTTTCGAATCTTTTATTTCTTTTGAATTCTTCCACTGCGGATTTTATACGTTCCATGGTGTCTATTTTGAAATCATGGTAGGATAATCCTTGCTGTTGATCACGAACTATTTCAAGTATCATATCGGCAATACGAACATTATCTAAGGCGCCAACGAGACGGTTTATTTGAACCTTTGTTATAGCATAGATCGAAGTTAAAAATGAATCGTATTCAATGGCTTCTCGGACGATTAATGTGTATCCGTTCCATTTTTCATTTATCATCTCCAACGCTTCTTCAGAATATTGATAAATTATTCGTTTTGATTCATCCTCGTCTGTATTCAGCAAATGTAGGGCATACAATAAATGAACTAAACTTGGTTCATTAACATCTAATAATGTAATTTCTGCTGAAAGAGGTATATTATTTCGGCTTCGGAGCGCAGAATAAGAAGCGGCCTAAAAGGCCATCACCTTCGCTATCCGCAACAACAGAGCCAAATATATCGCCTGATGTCCGCCTGAACCGATATTTAACACGGATCTACTAAAGCGACTGATGGTGACTTGACGGTTTGTCTTCTTACAGTATGGTTTGTATTGTAAAGGGTGCATATGATCGATCTATTATAAAACCCAGCGCCACCTTTGTAGAGACCAAACGACTGCATTAGAGTTGCGAATTCATCTCACAGTTGTATCAAGCGTGGATGGATATTTTTCAGTTCGTGAAGTAGACTTTCGATTGTAGCACTGCTGTTAATGCGAGATTTGTCTGGTGTTACGTCCAGCGCTTCTTCTATTTCCAAGCAACTATTTCTGATTAAATCAACAGTAGTGGTTTTGTTCGAGCCAGGATACCCAATAATAGCTGTGAAAAAACTAACATGGGTTGGAATACCAGCGTTACTCATAACCTGAGATGTATTCAATATGATGATCTATTGCAGGAAGAAGCAATGTAAATACGTATTCGTATGGAAGTTGATACGCAGAGCACACATTTTTGATGATATCGGACGTAACAGGATCAAAGATCTGTTCAATTGGTACTGTTATAGCTGCAGCTTTACGCATGATAGTACATATTTGGTCAAGAGATAATCCCTTATTCGACATATCGACTTAGATCACAGTTATAAAGTTACACTGTGTAGGTTTTTAGTACTGATGAGAATATGGTAATTAATATTAAGAATTGCTTTAGAAAACTTTAATGCATAGATAGATAACGTTGTAATCGAAATCAATTTTTTAGACTTTATGCAAAAATAATGATACTCACAAAATATACGTAGCCAACTTTTCAATGTTGAAAAAAGTTTAAAAGTGATATTAGTAATTTTTATGAATAAATATATTCAGTTGTAATAGTTGTTCACTAGACCAAAACGGACAGATATATGAGTGAAATGGCTATGTGAGGAAGATGGTTATAATGCTTCAGAGTAAAGAGTAGACCGTTTATTTCAGAGATAATGACATACTGTCTATGCTCTTTTCTTCACTTGCGGATACATACGAGAATGGTAGAGACGGGTATCATCTGTCAGTAAACGAAAAACTTTTTTCTTTATTGCAAGTTTTTAAGCTTGTCATAATATCCCATTTATTTATACTATCTTGGTACTTCGAAGTTCTTCTGCTATCGACGATACAATAGATGTTTCATGTTATTATTGTACGTGAAGAATGAACTCAACATATGTGTAGTCGAATGAGACATATGGATAGAAAGAGTGAATATTAGTTTCTTGCTGTACTGGACATTCATCAATGAAAAAGAATATTTGAGAGAACAGTGGCCAAAGATAGAGAGAAGAAAAATAAAGGTCAACCGAATCGGACGAAAAGGAAAAAAGAATGATCGCCAGTTTTACTTCCAACATTCACGAGCAGCAGTTATTTCATGAACTTTTATATCCATATATTGTCGACATTTGCTAAGTTTGTTCTTATGTTTCTTTACATACATGCAAACTTATTCTCTCTCATCCGTTAGTCTCATTGGGCGGATATCACCTTTATCTTTTCCCAATATCAATTTCAGAAAAGTTTCGTACACACTCGGATCATCTAAATTACATTTTTCACTCTTGATTGAAATAAACTCCGAATAGTAGTAATAGACGATTTTCTCATAAATGACTGATCACGCTCATACGACTTTATTAAGTATTGAAAATTACCAATGAGACTCGAAGTTGTTGGACAAATCGGCTCGCGACTAACCTTACATAGCAAGATTAACTACATCTAATGGCAAGTAATTCCAGAGAGTTCCAGCTTTCGCAAATGTAAACTGACTGTAGTAGCCATATCTAACTTTTCTTTATCATTTTCGTTACATTCAGAGTTTTGATTCGCAACTTTTTTTCGATCAAAAATCTTTTCATTCAAAATAAAGGTGATTTTAGAGTTTGTAAGTGAAATACGGTCGAATGATTATTCGACGCTTTCATGCATGTATAAAAAGGAAACTCGATCACAACAACACAAATATCTTCTAGATCTCTGACTATTATGATCCTTGTACAACATGATCTAAACATTTCATATAATATTAAGGTGATCAGGTCAACGATTCCGATCAAATGTGATACCATGCGGTCTCTTTCTTGACAAAGAATATTCTTAAATTATTTGAATAAGTACTTTTTCTTCGTACTAACTTTATTTTTATTATATTCCAAACGTTTCGATTGAGAGTTCAATCTTCCTCAGTGGATACAAACATTAATTAAATTAATTAAAATTACATAAACAAACACAAATTTTGGAATATAATAAAAATAAAGTTAGTACGAAGAAAAAGTAGTTATTCAAATAATTTAAAAATATGATCTAACTTCGTATTCATATCGACATTTCAAAAATGACAAAAGAATATTCTGTCATCTTTATCGTTCTGAACGTGATATATCTGCTTGTTCATTGCAATACAACCATCGATAGATGACACGAAGCAGCTAATTCATGTTTGTATTTTTGCAAGTTCTTAACAAATTTCGTGCTAGTATAAAGGCAAATCTTTTCTACAGAAATCTACGTAGTTCTTGTTGTTTATTCATAGAACTAGACTTGTCCAACGCCTCTAACAAGAAAGACGGTCAAAACAGCAATTGAACATCGAATTCGTTTCACAAAAACGATCAAAATTAACACAAACATTTTACAATCATTGCACTATCACCACACTATATGTTCGTATTGGAGAGACTACCACCTGGGTCTTACACCTAGTTGCTCATATACCTCCGGTTTCAAACAAGCATCTTATTTATTCTCTTATTTTATTCATATCGACAAGACGTACTATTTAAATAAATAAAGTTTATTTCTCTTCCGCTCGTCTGTTGCTACAAAGTTACATTGATCGTATTTGTATTCTGTGATCGAAGCAAAAGTTCAAGAAAAGAAGTGGTTAAACCGGTGGGAGAATCGAATGATATCGAGGACATTATCAAGCAAGTACTGCAATCAGACGCAAACGTAGAAAGTCAGTAGCTGACCGTAGTTCATTACATAAGTCATCTCATAATCGTTTCCTGACGGCTTCTGTAAATATTCATGTCAATGTTGATTAATAGCAACTTGGTCATTTATTTGACAACCACGTAGAGTAAGAGGATAGCAAGTACATAGAGTTAAACAATCCTTCATATCTACTTTCATTTTCGTAGTATAAAACAGACGTAAGCGTTTAATACAAAGCAATCATATTTAGAAACCGACTGATTTTGATATTCTGCCTTTTTAATAGAAAAAGGAATCCAGCCAAGTTCACCAGGAATCTTTTCGTGCGAAGTGATGTTAATTTCATTTAATCGTCGTCAAAGTCTCAAAATTATTCAATGGGAAAAAGAAATAGAAAATGAAAGAAAAACAAGCAACAACCTTTTATGCACTTTCCAATACTAAAACATATATCAAGTAGACTCCTGACCGTTTGTTGAACTTGATATTGTGTTTTTTCTCATTCTTCCTTAGTCTGCACTACATAGTTTCGTCGAGTGTATACAACAAGCAAATAAAATCTCTATTTTCTATTTTTTCTCCCTAGAAGTAAATCTGAAATACATGGTCACATATACATATATATGTATATATAGATGAAAAAAAACTGTTTAGTTATCATATCTTGAAATTCTCGATATTAATAGAGTGACAGTTATTTGTTTAAATGACTATGGGTTCAAGCCAGTTTTCTCTCTTATTTCTCCTACCGATGTTACCCAGTGTCAGTAAGTCACGCTTTTTACATTACGTTTAGTATAAGTTTGGTCTCTTTAGTTTCGTTACCTTTAGACATGGATAATTTTACGGCGATGAACACTACTTTATTTCCATATTCACAACGTATGTACTATTGATAAATACTGCGATGCACAATCCGCTCGGTACTATGTGTGTTCTTCGAGAAAATAAAAGAAAATATTCTTCGAATCTTGCATTCACAAGGACCTTCACATTTCAGCGATTAACACTATGAAAACGTTCTACCAGTGCACCGGAACTCCAGCCGAAGTTAGGTATGCACCGGTATCGGTATTCATACCGAGATACCGAAAATACCGACTTTTTTTGACTTTGGATTTTTTCATTTGAAATGAGATATTTTAGCATCCTGGCCAGGCAGAACGCATAAAAAACATTCAACTGTGTATTCTGAGCATGTGCAGATAGAAAAAAAAGAAAAACTTTGGCTTTAGAAAGCAAAGAAAGCTCTTGTTTTGCGTCCCTGATTCTTTCTCGGTATCCAGGACGCTAAAATATCACATTTCAAATGAAAAGATCCAAAAAATTTCAGGTAAAAAAAAGTCGGTATTTTCGGTATCGGTATATACCGCAGTTCGGTATTCGGTATACCGATACCGGTGCATACTACCCTAAGGGCAACAAGACTATATGACCCCGTCGATATTCCAGCAGGAGTGAGAACATGGGAATTTTCATTCTTTCAAGAATTATTCGAGCAACAACTATTTATGTTCTGTTATGAAATCGATATTACCAGTATGCTATTTGCACTCTCTCGTCGGGTAATCGGCGAAAAAGTACGTTCTTTCTGGTTTCTCAGAAAACTTGTCAAAAAACTTCAGTGAACCACAGTTCTCCTCATCATTTCGAGTTGTTTTTATCAGAGACGCTTCGGATTCTTCCCTATTTCTGATCTTTCAACAGTGACGAATTCAGGTTTATTTTGAGTTTTCTGAAGCACTTTATATGACCATGTATTTTTAGCTATTGTTATGCTATTTCAGCAATCAATAATAAGTCTTGCTTTACAGAGACATTATGTTGTCTACAAGTCACTTCTTTTGTTTCCCGCAATACCGTATAATAATATCTGCTCATGTCTTTTACAACTGTAATTACGTTTTTTTGTGAAACTCCGAGGGAGTAAAGCTCATTTAGTAATCGAGTCGGAGTGTAGAGTCAAGAGGGAATCAATTATGACATCGTCTTTGAAGTTTTGCATATCATATCAATATGAACAGCTCGCTTCTCAATTGGTCCTTACTAGAGCTTTATCTTCAAAATCCGAAGGACTATGCTAATAAGGTTTCCACCCCGAATCATGTCCAAAATTAACTATCTAGATATCGCCATTCGAAACACGTGATTTAGATGTGTCTAGAAACATGGCAACCTCGTACTTCAAAAAATTATTGTTTGCTTTTTGGTGAGGACTAACTTTGTTTCGTTGCGCCTAGACTGGTTATGCACAAAAGCACTGCTGGTTCCCGAGCATCTTGTCCCGTTACCGGATTTGACTGGCTTTGTTTTTTGTATTGGTGACGGCTTCGGTGTTGAACAAAAATGTATGAACGGTGCTCACTATGACCCAATCAAGAAGGAATGTAATGATAGTAATACCAACGGTAGGAGTACTACAACAGCAGATATCGAACTAAAATTTGAATAACATTTTCTCTCTTCTCGTTTTAGTAGCTCCCGTAAACAGCCCGTGCTCATCATCACCGTGCAATGGTGAAAAATGTATCAATATTTTTGCTGCCTCAACGTATTATTGTGTGTGTCATAATGGCGCTTATTCTCGCAATTGTGAACGTTCTTGGTGTGAACGTGATGATACAATGGAGACGTGTGTAGGAGGATATCCTCCGTCTGAAATACCCAAAGTCTTCGAAGTAAGGCAAATCTATCAGAATGATGTAGTTTATGTATATGTAGATATACGTATTTATCTCTAGGGCTGTCAAACGTTTGAAGATAACTCTGCGCTAAAGTTTATATGTATTTGCCGGAGGCCAAAATTAGCTAATAGAACTGTTGGACAGTTATGGTATGGCTCAAGTTGTGTAGGAACAATATTCGAAACTCCATGTGCAACGGCAAATGGTGAAGAAAAATTTCCATTGGGCCACACTGATAAAGGATATATTCAATGTACGGCGAACAAGACACTCTATTCAATTGAATCATGCACGATTAATTATGTTTGGAATCATAAGGCAAAGGGTTGTGTAAGGAGTAAAGGTCAGTAGTATGCTGAACGATTATGATGCGTTCATATTCTCCGACCGTTAACCTCCTTTTCTACAAGTAGCGCAGCTCACTTACTATGTGACTGGCCGATAGTAGGGAATTATTTGTCGCTGCTAGTTTCGAAAGTTAGCATTATTTGAAATTTGGAACACTGTTCATCATTGATCCCAACAGTAGCCTCTTTAGTAAATTTAGTCATTTTCCAGCACCTACTTTACAGAGACTTTCCGGAGGTAGAGCAATCTGTATATTTCGTGGACTCTCACTCTTCTTCTGCGAGACCGATCACGAAAAAACAATTCAATACATACAAGCTATCTACTGAATAACTGTCAAAGATTCAGCTGCTTCGGATGGTCAAAACGTATGAAATTATTTATGTATAGAAACGTCAGGACTGTTAGCATGTAAAAGTTTAGGTACCGCTATCCTCAGTTTTTTCTTAAAAAAGTAAAGCACTTTATTCTATGATGACGTTAAGCACTCTGCAAAGTTCAAGATCTAATCGATCGTCCATTAAAGTTATATAACGCTTGTAAATTTTGCCTCATAACCCATAGGGCTTCTGTTTTATCATGAGTTTCAATTTTAAGCGTGTGCAGTCTTGTAGAATAATTGTTATTTTTCTTCATGCAAGAAATTTCGATTCATCCGCGCAACGAATGCGTAGAAGTCTTCAGCACGTGAAAACTAGTGGATAGGTGAACCGAATAGCGTAGAAAGTAGATAAATACCAATGCTGATACTTATTATAATGTCTTCACTTGGAAACATTATCTTGAAATATTGTGTCTGTTTCTTTAGAAAATCAACATAAAAATGATCAGGATAAATTGCGTAACCCGACCGTGGACGTTTGATCAGTGATTATAGTTTTAATTCGTACGCTTTCTTTGTTCGTAAGTTAAGAAGAAAAGACAGTTATTCGCACATACTACTAAAAATGTTGCTTGTACTGTGAAAATAATGAATAAACGTAATGCGCTTTGAAAACTATATTGTGTAAGGTGGATGTTGCTGTCCATTTTGAAATATACAAGCATGGCTATTTTTCGGAGAAGCTTTAAATAAAGATAGATCTAGATCTGTTGTTTTCATTATTCAAGTGCCAAGATTTGAACAATCATGCATAAGGTTGACTTCATTCGCCACCAAATGCAACTTTCAGACGCTCTTGAGAATCTTTAAAGCATTTAAAACAAGTTATTTTTTCTCAATTCTATATATCATGATATGGCTATCATTTAACTAACAGGAAACCAGAAAACGATATAACATACCCAACATGAAGTATGATTCCTGAGTATGATGAAATAGTGAGGAAAATTCTCTATTAATGAGAGTTCGTGTCGACTACAGTTAACGTTAGTTAAAGTGAAGCCCTTTTTCATGCATACAAAAGCTCCCCCTGCGTTCTGTTAGTAGCATTTCCCGATCTTTTAGATCTGCAGCTTACATCAAGGGCAGCTCTGAGCTCACAAACAGAATCTACTCCTGCATACCATATGCCCGAGCGGGGAGTTACATCCCCTATTTAAAAACTTTTGTAAAAATTCTGGCATTCATGGGCGTCCTTTATACCACTTTGAAATAAAAGACTTTATATAAGATGTGAAAGACATAAGGCTACAAAAGTTCAGTTGTTATAAGCTTTAATTAATGAAGAGGGCAGAAAGAAAAAGGATTACGCTTAAAAATAAATATAAGAACAGTACAAAAAGAAAGAGGAAGAATCCATGAAAATTTACTTAAAGATGCAAATTGTATTACTTCCTTTATAATATATTCAATCATAGACTTAGCAACAAGTAAATACGTATCTTTATCAAGCGATGCATTCAAGCATAGTAGATTCACACATGGGTGGCTGCCGTTCAGTATTCGTTTAGGTTCGTTATAGACACGCTTTCTATATCGTGTGTAACAAGTACAATGGAGTAAAAAAATGCTTTCTTGATTCAATGCTACCACAAACACACAGTTTAGTGTCTGATAGATTTTTTGTAAATAGATCAAAATTTAATTGGGAAAATTCTGTTCTCAACTGGTAATAAATAATATCAGCTTTACGTGGAGCATGATATGTTCGATGGACAGGTAAATGTGAATTAATATTTAGTTCGACTTTTAGAGATTTAAGAAAAACGGAGAGATTTTGCGATTCTTTTATATCGTGTTTTAAATTATTCCATTCCACGATCGTCGCCGGAAAAAAACTCTTTTCGAAAATATGTCGTTGAGTGTATATGTGTTGTATAATAGAACTATTTTTATAACGTGTGGACCACTGATGCGTAGGTTTTGCTGGTACCAATTTAATCAGATAGGAAGGAACAAGTTCTTTCATTATTTTATAAAAAAAGATTAGCTTATGTTGCAAAAATAGAGTTTCTAGTGGTGTTCAACCCAGACATTTTAAGATTTTATCTTTATCTGTCAATCTGAATGCTCCACTAACAATTAACGCAGCTTGATATTGTAACGCGAACAACTCAGCTAAGTGACTATCGAATGTGGATGTATAAAGACAGTCAGCATAGGTTATTGTTTGAATAAAAAAAGACTTATATAGAGTCAGTTGGGGGAAATCGGATCAATTTTGGAAAATTCCGTATTGTTTTGGTATAACTCGGTCATTTTTTATCCTAAAAAAAAATTTTTTTCACAGGTAGAAAATTTGAACATTTTTCTATCGACTGATGTAAAAATTATTTTAAAATTCATTTTAATTACTTATCTGTAATTAAAATGAAATGAGTCCCATCGCTCTGATCCGATTTA